TTTAAACGACTTCTTCTGAAGAACTGGTAGTTATAAAATCTTAATATTTGGCAGGTGGCTTCCTGGGAAAGAGCCAAACAAAGTTTGCGAATGAAAATGACCTTGACCTACTTTCAAGGTCACAGCGTTCAAATATGTCAAACAGTTCAAACAGCTTCTTCTGAAGAATTAAAAGGCATAAAATTATAATATTTGGCTGGTGACTTCCCGGGATAGAGCTCACCAAAGTTTGCAAATGAAAATGACCTCAACCTACTTTAGAGGTCACAGAGGTCAACAACATTTTAATGGATTTGTTCTTGAGAACTAAAAGGAATGGATTCATAAGATTTGGCTGGTAGCTTTTTGGAATAGAGCTAACCAATTTGAGAAGGAAAATGACATTGACCTACTTACAAGATCACAGGGAAAAATATGTCAAGCAACTTCTGAAGAAGAATCAAAAAGCATAGAATCTTATAATAATATTTTGCTGGTAGTTTCAACAGATGGAGCCAACAAAGTTTGCGAGGGAAATATTTTTAGTGCAATATTATATTTAATGAGAATATTTTGCTATGACTGCTTATATATTCAGGTGAGCGATACAGGCCCTCTTGGGCCTCTTGTTTAAAAAGTAATTTAAGAAGCAAAAAGAATATGAAAATAGTCTAGATAACAAAAACAGACTTCAGGTATTCAGAACTAAGTTGTTTTAACTCCACATTAATTTCTACGGTGAAAGAGAATACCAAGATGACCGTTGATACATTCGTGATATACACAGCAGTTCCTTCTAGTGCCAATAAGTTCTGCCCAATGTCCCTGGTGGCATAATTCATAACAGCTCTATGAGCAAGGGGACACCATGTTTTATTTTGTCCCCAGGACGAGATGCGATTGCAGCTGTACATGGTCGCGGCTAACAAGCACAACCTCCTTATGGCTGAAGCTACTAACCTAAAAGGTATGTGAGAACCACATTATAAAACGGAATATGAATTATATTTTTTTTATGATGTTTTATTAAATTTTAAAGAAAAAAATGATGAATCACCGGGAATTTCTTGGTTCATAATTGTATATTCATTAGAACAGTTCATAATGAAATTTTGCAGCAGTTTAATTTTTGCCTTTTTCACCCTCTGTAATGAGGTCAAATTTATCACTGCAGCGAACATTTGTAAACAGCATAATGTACATATTAATTAGATGTGAATGGTGACTTTGATATCGGGCGAAAATGGATTTAACCATTTAGGGGCAAAAATTTGACTGGGCCAAAATTCCCTGTGTACAGTATACCACCTTGGTTTAATTGAGATACCAATTTGTCTACACACTGTCCAGTTAAAAGGACTTGTGTTTCATCCTGAAGTTTTACCAATATTTTTTTTTAAAGCTGACAATTTCAACTGTTGATGCATAAATAAAATACATGTATACAAAATGGTGTGAGTGACTTTTTAAGGTGTTTTAAGGTTGTGACCGTCACCTGCTGGGTTTATCCTGTTTGGCCAAAGAAGAGTCTCTCCCAGTACCAGACCTCTATCAGGACCCTGCTTTCACCAAAAGGTAAGAAAAAAATTACCTGTTATCCATTCAATGTCTGTCAATAAAGAATGCAAAACTTAACCAATGTAATTAATGTGTATACTACACTTCAATAAGGTTTGTCAGTTTGAAAATATGTACGTAATATCAAAGTTTTATTTTAAACACAAACAATGTATGTATTAAACATGTCGCAATGTTTCAAGACCGACTGGTCCCTTTTTCAAGCTATGACCGAGTGAGCTATTTGTATTGTTTACCTGTACAACGATGTTACAAAATTGTATATTTACTATGTCACTCGACATGGGACGTTTCGCCTCACTTTTTATATCACTTTAAAGAGCTAATACAGTTATGATTAAATTTATACATATATCAGTTTGGAGTATGCTTATTAGTTCACCTGCCCAAAGGGCAAGTGAGCTTATGTCATGGTGCGGCGTCCGTCCATCCTCATCCGTCAACTTTTCCTTTAAACAACTTCTTTTGAAGAACCGACAGGCCTAGAATCATGTATTTGGCTGAAAGCTTTGTTGGTAGGAGCCCGACAAAGTTTGAGAACGAAAATGACCTTGACCTTCTTTCAAGGTCACAGGGGTCAAGTATGTCAAAAACTTCAAACGACTTCTTCTGAAGAACAAAAAGGTATAGAATCTTCATATTTGGCTGGTGGCTTCCTCGGATAAAACCCAACAAAGTTTGAGAATGAAAATTAGTTTGACCTGCTTTCAAGGTCACAGTGTTCAAATATGTAAAACTCTTTAAACGACTTCTTCTAAAGAACTGAAAGGTGTAGAACATTCATATTTGACTTGTGGCTTTCTGAGATAGAGCCAGACAAAGATTGAGAATGAAAATGACCTTGACCTGCTTTCAAGGTCACATGGGTCAAATATGTCAAACTCTTTAAACAAATTCTTCTGAAGAACCAAATGATATAGAATATTTGTATTTGGCTGGTGGCTCCCTGGGATAGAGCCAGACAAAGTTTGAGAATGAAAATGACCTTGGCCGGCTTACAAGGTCATAGGAATTAAAAATGTCACTCATTCAACGACTTCTTCTGAAGGACCAAAAGGTATAGAATCTTTATATTTGTGGCTTCCTGAGATAGAGCCCGACAAAGTTTGAGAATGAAAATGACTTTGACCTTCCTCAAGGTCACAGGTGTCAAATATGTCAAAAACATCAAGCGACTTCTTCTGAAAAATCGAAAGGCATAAAATTATAATATTTGGCTAGTGGCTTCTTGGGTTAGAGCTCACCCAAGTTTGCAAATTAAAATGACCTCAACCTACTTTAACTGTCACAGAGGTCAACAACATTTCAAAGGATTTATTCTGAAGAACCAAAAGGAATGGATACATAAGGTTTGGCTGGTAGCTTCTTGGGATAGAGCTATAAAAGTTTGAGAAGGAAAATGAATTGACATACTTACAAGGTCACAGGGAAAAATATGTCAAACAACTTTTGAAGAAGAACGATGGCCAAAAAGCATAAAATCTTATAATAATATTTGACTGGTAGTTTCAACAGATGGAGCGACAAAGTTTGCGAGTGACAAATTTGTAGTACAATATAATATTTAATGAGAATATTTGCTATTACTGCTTAAATATTCAGGTGAGCAATACAGGCCCTCTTGGGCCTCTTGTTTGGTTATGAAAAAGGGTATTTTAAATTTGCTGAAGAAATTAAATATCTAAACTCAAAAATAAATATATTGAAATACATGTAGTTTGATTTCAAGGCGTAAAATAGTCTTTTATGCTTGTTATAAAAATGAAAAAGTGGGAATAGCAAATTAATATTTTATATCCCACTGAATTTGTTATCAGTATTTTTACAATTGTTTTGCCTTTGATTTCAGTGGAGGCGGTGGTAACTTTGTTCTGTCCACAAGCTTTGCGGGATACACAGCGTCATCGGGAGCTGTGGCCCCCATGTTGGAACATGGATATGGGATTTTCTACAGGATTGAACCTCAGCGGTGTGTATATCATAGGCATGTCGAAGGATGGGATTGAGTAGGGGTGTTGGTTGTGTATGGGGGGGGG